AACATGTTATTTTAAATGAGATATAGGAAAAATTATAAATGTATAGGAAGTGAGATGGATCGAAACACAAGCAATACAAATGCAAAGCTGAGGTTTCAGAATGGCTTCCTATGAGTCCTTGGAGACAAAAAATGCTAACGACATGAGCAGGAGACACTGAGCAGAGCTTGTGGACTTCTGTCTTTTCGTTCATACGGTTGCCAGTCCATATTGGACTAGAGCCTGAAACCATCCAGTTTTCTTTCTTGAAGACGAGGACCCTCTTGTTGGTCACAGTTAGGTTTACTGAACCTCCTAGAATTTCCCCAATTCATTCTGCCTGGGATAGCTACTGTAGCTGAGAACTGTAGGGAAAATTGAGGCCAGTCTACCCAAGCTGTGGGTGTTCAGGCCAGCCCGCATGTCCGGCTGGCACTTCCTGCCTGAGCCAAGTCTGCTTCTACACCCAGAGACTGCTGATGAAGAGACACCTGACCAAAGACACCAATGAGGAAAAGACAATGCAGCAGTCAGCCACCTGAGCCAATAGGACCTTGGGCGGGGGTATAAAGGCAGGTCTAACTTCCTTAATGAGTCTGCAGCAGGCTCGCTCTGCTACTCACTGACTCCGCAGCAAGCTCGCTCTGACTCCCCGTGCCTGAGTTGTTGGTGCTGCATCTTCTCATCCCTCCCGCAAGGGGTGTCAGAGTAGGGTAACCCACAACAGAGAGCTTTTTTTCCAAGTTCAGGGAGATCTGCACAAGAGTACCTTCCCAAGGACTTCGAAGAAGTACCAAGTAATAATCACTCCTTTGGCAGTGTGCTTCTGTGGATATTGTGGGCAGCCTTAGCATCTTAGGATGCTGTCTATGGTAGGTGACAGGCAGCTCCTGAGTCTGAGTCATACTCTGGGTCAAGTCCAGCTCTGAGAGACGCTTTTCATTTTTTTTTCTCCCTACAAACTTCCTGACCTGGGGACACTCTCCTCCCCAAATCCTCCAGCCTGTGTCTGATCTTCCTGTGTTCTCTCGACCTTCCTAACTCAGCGGTCCTTCCTGTAATACAGTTCCTCATGTTTTGGTGATGCCCAACCATAAACTTGTTTTCGTTACTATATGATAACTGTAATTTTGCTACTGTTATGACTCACAGTGGAAATATCCATGTTTTCCGATGCTGTTAGGCACCCCTTGAGAAAGGGTAGACCTCCAAGGGATCAAAACCCATATGTTGAGAACCAATGCTCCAGAGTCTCACCCAGGGACTTCGGAAGGCCAAACTGAGGCAGTTTACACAGTAAAGTATCCTGGTCTCAGGACCCTGGAAAAGTTCACTTTTAAATAACAATTCTCTGTAACATGTATGTTATCCATTGCTCTGTGGCCTGAGAAAACAGGCTGAGGATTCACGGTCTCAGAAAAAGCTGCAATTCCACTAGAGTTTCATGGTCACTCCGGCTTGCTCTGAGGTAGAAGTGTGCCAAGCCGCCTCAGGCAAGGAGGCTAAGTCTCCGCAGATTGAAGGAAAAGATGGAAATCGGGTTGAGTGAATCAGGAGACTGGAGGCATGTGAGCACAAGAGCCATGCATATAGCGCTTCTCTTTCTTATGACTGAGGCAAGCAATACATGACATGATGCTTATAGTTAGTTTAAGCAAACACAAGAACGCTGAGGGAGGGCACATGGTGTTATGTCTTCTGAATATTATCTTTGGTCATGTGAAAGAGGTAGGGCTAGGAGCATCCATCCTCCCAGGCCTTTGCCTTTCCCAGAGAGATAAAGCAAGGGCATTCCCTTGCTTTGAAGTGCATCCACTTATCATAGTTGATGTAATTCTTTTCAGAAGGCCACCTTGTGGGGAAAACATTCTGCACTCTGCACCATTCACAGTTCACAGTAAGTTCACAGCTTTCTTACACAGGCCACTTCAGAAATGACCAGTTGTGTGGTTGACTCTCGCCGTAGCCTGCATTCTCTTTCTCCCTGTGAAAGAACTTTGCAGCTGACCCCACGTTCTGCTTGCTTTTATTTGCTCCACTGATTTTTCTCTTTTCTCCTGCCCTTTCACTCTGGATTTCTGAAGCTTATTCTCTGTTTCCCATTGATACAGGGTCTATTTTTAATTACTATTGTCATCACCATCATTATTATCATTAATTTTCTGTCCTTCAGCTTTCTTTTTGCACAGGCAGCCTTGACTGTGTCCTTTCGTCCCAAAGCTTTTGTTCTTAAATTCTAGGTCATGACTCACCACATAGTTAGCTACTTAGGTCATAGGAAATTTGTCAACATTAAAGTCTTCTGACTGCAAAACGACCAAGAAAATACAAAATGACATATAAGTGAGCACCACGTGTTTCCGGCAAAGTTCACATGTATTGAATTTCATTCACTACACACTACATGCTGTTTGAACTCTATGTGCAGCCACACCACACAATGAAAAGGAATGCTCCTTCTGAAACACCTGTGCTCAGGGTGGAGGTGTTTGTCTCCTGCACGTCAGACTTGTGACTGTATGTGGAAAATTTTCTTTGTTTACAGAGACATAATCGTTTAATTATGGAAAACAAAACAATTTCAATCTTTTCCTAGCATCATTTCTTAACAAGTAAGTGTCCAATTATTGTGTTGTGCTAGAATATTTACTTTTAAACCTTTTGTTTGAGTGGTGGACTTTAGTTACATAAAAAAGGAAACAAAACAAAAACATTCTTCATGGCATTTTGGCTTGACATTAGGGAAGAATTTTCAGCAGTTTCCGAAATGGCCTGAACATACTTCTGCATATATCTGTGTGAAAAAGCATTTTCTTATCGATTATAAACATAAATGCATCGAAGAGCTTTTAAAATGTTGAAGGTAGTCTACATCTTGAAGTACCAAATATTCAGGCTGCATTTAATTATTTTTTATTATTTTAATTAATTTTAATTATTTTTTAATTTTATGGTATTTATTTTAGTGTACATATGTGTGGTGTGTGTGTGTTATTAGTCATACATTCATCCATGGTATGTGTGTGAAGGGCAAATCAATATGCAGGAGTTAGTTTTTTCTTTCTACCATGTGGGGCCTGAAGTCAAACTGAGATCATCAGGATTAGCCACAGCCACCCTGACCCACTGAGCAATCAGGTCACAGGCCCTGAACTTAATTCTAACATGAAAATAAATGAGCATGTGCATCTCATTAGAATTTGCTGAAATCGGCTGGTGGAAGTAGAAGCAGACACCCACAACTAATCACTGAACTGAACTGGAATCCAGATGCAGAGAAGGACGAGTGAAGAGAAAGGGGTCCAGACCAGGCTGGTGAAACCCACAGAAACAGCTCACCTGAATATTGGGGAACTCTTGCTTCCCTAGACTGATAGCTGAGATACCAGCATGGGGACTGATCCAGACCCCAGGAACATGGGTTTCTGTGAGGAAACCTCAGAAATCTCTGGGACCTCCTGTAGAAGTTCAGTACTTTTCCCTAGCATAAGCGTGGACTTTGGGAGCCCATTCCACATAGAGGAATCCTCCCTGAGCCAAGACACACAGGGGTGGGCCTCGGCCCTATCCCAAAGTATATGATAGCCTCTGATGACCCCCCTATGGAAGGCCTCACCATCCAGGGGGAACAGAAAGGATATGGGATAGGTAGGGTTTTAGTTGGGGGAGGGGGGATCGTAGGGAGAATGGAACTGGGATTGTCATGTAAAACAATCTTGTTTCTAATTCAAATTTTAAAAGAATCTGCAAAAAGAAAGAGAATTTGCTGAAATCTTAAAATGGCAAATGTATATTTATGCCAAATAGCTGTCTTAAAACAAATTCTGTGTTTAGAAGCTAAAACAACACACATTTCTAGTCTCAGAGACCTGCCTCTCCCATGTTTAACATAGCAGGCTTAGAACTTCAGCTCAGTCTCCCAAGAATAGCCAGATGTTAGAGCCTCAGCTCAGAGTCTCCCAAGGATGCCCATATATTAGAGCCTCAGCTCAAAATACCCCACGGATGGCCAGATGCTAAAGCTTCAGCTCAGAATCCCCCAAGGATGGCCAGATGCTAGAGCTCAGCTCGGAGTCTCCCAAGGATGACCAGATGTCTATGAGGCTTTCATTTCCTCTGAGAAAGGACTCATACCTCATCTTGTTCTTGTGACAAGACCCAGATACTTCCAATTGGAGGACAAAGGTCATATTTTCTTGATGACCATTGGCCAGGGATATCTGTCAACTTCATGTGAACTTCTTTGTTCCTGAGGAAAACTTGAGTGATGAGATATTTCCACTCTCCTTTGCAATCGGTTTATTGTTTGATAATTTTATGCAGGTATGTTTCACACTCAGCCCTCCACCCTTCCTTGTCATCTCTCCTCGATTTTACACCTGTGCATGGGACATTCTGCCCCACTCACCCACACACTTCCATCAAGACCTGCTCCTCCCACCGAAGCTCCAACCCACTCTCCTACCAGTAGCAATGCTGCTTAGAAATCAGGAATTGTGGTGTGCAAGCCCAAAGCTGTAGAGACCATTGTTGACTTCTCCCTGCCAGCTGCCTGCACAACTTTTGGTACTTTGTCAGCAGTGAAGACATTTCTAGGAGAGTTTCTGTATGTTCAGTAACCAATGTGTGGAGTGTCCTCAGGAATAATCTGGCCTTCTATTTCTAGTGATCAAGCAGGGACAATGACCAGAACTTTCATAGCATTGGCAGGTCTTACCAACAACTCCTAGGGAGGTGTCCTACCTCTGTCTTCTGGGAACATCAGCATCCACTCAGGCCTAGACCCTCCATCGAAAGTCCTTTTATTAACTGTCTTGAAATGTATTTGCAACATAGTGGGTTCCTGTGTCACCTCTTTGAGCATCTGGTTTTCTTTGACCCTTTCCTCACACCATATCACTTCACATATCTGCTATCCCCTCATATTGACAATCCATCACCCTGAAACTTCTCCTCTACTTCCATGTGTTCTGCCACTCACACCCTTCAAAGGGTTCCTCTCCCAGTGGCCTTGCTTCTTTGGTTTTGGTTTTAAATGTTCCTACTGAATAACTAGCACTTATTCTGATAGCTCTGCCTTTTGAAGCTTTCCACACCCGTTCTTTATTCTGTGTTTTTAGTCTTAACTGTAACATGATGTGGGAAGGTTGTTTTCTGACCCTGTCAATTTTGTGTTCAGTACCTGATGGGCATTCTTTCTATCAGGAGTTGGGATTTATTTTGTTGAAAGTATTTTCTATGACACTGACATAGAATTGTTTTTCTCTGCCCATTATTTGTAAATTTGATTTTTTAATATTGTCTCAAAGCTCTCCCACATTTTGTCCATTTTTTTAAATTCACCATTAACCTTGGCTGAATGATCTGATTCATTCACTGTCTTCAAGCCATGATGCTCTACCCTCCATGAGATGTATTTGTTGCTGAGGGTTTCCACTGATTTTTTAATGCCTGCTTTATTTTATGTGTAGGGGTATTTTTGCTGGCATGTATATGTGCACACCACATGCCTGTCTGGTACTCTCAGAAGCCAGAAGAGGGTGGTAGATCCCATGGTACTGTGGGAATTTACAGCCCTGAGCTGCCAAGTGGGTGCAGCCAATCACATCCGGAAGAGAGGTGACAGGGGAAGTACTTCTGTGTATGTTTATCTTATTGATTGTTTAATAAAGTTCTGCTTGGCTAGTGAAACAGCAAGTTAGGCAGGACTAGGAGTCAAAGAGGATTCTGGGAAATGTAGTAGAGAAGTGG